TTTCAAGTTGCTAAACCTGGGGCAATTTGTTACAAAGCAACAGTGACTGGAACAGTGATGAATCTGATAAACATGTTCCCTGCCTTCACGGAGTTTATATTCTAGTGGGAGGAGGGCATACAATAAGCGAGAAAATGTCAGCTGGAAGTAAGAATTAAGAAATACTGGAACACTGGATATCCACATCAAAAGAATGAAGTTGGGCCCTTTCCTTACACCATATGCAAAACGATGCCTGAAAAAATAGTTATTATTTATAGGCATACCCCAGAGATATCATAGGTTCACTTCCCGACCACTGCAATAAAGTGAATATTAAAATAAAGCAAATAAATTTTTGGTTTCCCAGTGAATGTAACAGCTATGTTTACATTATACTGTAGTCTATTAAGGGTGTAACACCATTATGTCTACAAAACAATGTATACACCTTAATTAAAAAATAATTTATTGTGGACTTCCCTGGTGGTACAGTGGTTAAGAATCTGTCTTGCAATGCAGGAGACACATGTTCAATCCCTGGTAAGGTAAGTAAGATTTCACATGCTGCAGGGCAACTAAGCCTGCGCATTACGACTGGAGAGTCTGAGCAGCACAACAAAAAAGCCCGTATGCCACAAGTTAAGACCCGATGAGGCCAAGTAACTAATTTTTTTTTTAATTTATTGCTAAAAATGCTAGCCATCCTCTGAGCCTATAGCAAGTCATAATCTGCTTGCTGATGGAGGGTTCGAAACATAATGAGAATTACCAAAATGTGACCCAGAGACAAGAAATAGGCAAACGCTACTGCAAAAATGGCACTCACAGACTTGCTCAATGCAGGGTTACCACAAACCTCCAATTTGTAAAAAAAAAAAAAAAGGAAAGAAAAGAAAGAAAAAAATGTAGTATCTGCAAAATGCAATAAAGAGGAGTACAATAATATAAGGTATGCCTACACACATTTTAGGGCTTCATTTATAAGTTACCTTGAACCAACATCTAATTTGAAAACTATAGTGTACTCTTAATTGTGAGAAAGTATAATAAGAACAAAGTATGTAGAAATGTTAAAGTGATAATTACTGATTTAAGAGCTAAGACTATAGAACTCTCAGAAGAAAACACAGAATTAAATCTTCATGATTTACTTGGATTAGACCAAGCCTCCTTAGATACAATATGAAAAGCACAAGCAAAAGAAGAAAAAAAAATTAGACACTATCAATAAGAACTTCTGTGCTTCACAGGATACCATCAAGAAAGTGCAAAGACAACCCACAGAATGGGTGAAATCATTACCTGATCAGGACAGTGTATCTAGAATATGTAGAGGGGCTTCCCTGGTGGTCCAGTGACTAATACTCAGCACTCCCAGTGCAGGAGGCCAGGGTTCAATCTCATATGCAGCAACTAAGAGCTTGCATACCGCAATTAGGAGATCGCATGCTGCAACTAAAAACATCCCACATGACACAACCAAAAAGGATCCCTCACACTACAACTAAGACCCAGCACAGTCAAATAAACAAATCCAGACTTGAATACATAAAGAACTCACTCTTACAATTCAATAACAGTAAAGACAAAAAAAAAAAAAAAAAAAAACCCATGGAAAAAAATGGGCAAAGAATCTGGACATGTATTTCTCCAAAGAAGATACACGTATGGTCAATGAGCACAGGAAAACATGATCAATATCATTAGCCATTACAGAAATGCAAATCAAAAACATAATGATAAAACTTCATACTCACTAGGATGGCTAAAATTAAAAGACAGATGGTAGAAAGAGTTGACAAGAATGTTGAGGAAGCAGAACCTCATCCCTTGTTGGTGGGATTGTAAAACCGTGGTCATTCTGAAAAACAGTTAATCACCTCAGCTCCTCAAAATGTTACATATGACTCAGAAATTCCAATCTTAGGTGTATACTAAGAGAACTGAAAACATATGTCTACACAAAAACTTGTACACAAATATTCACGGTAGCATTAATCATTAAAGCCACAAATGTGGAAACTACCCAAATATCCATCAGTTGGTGAATGGACAAATAAAATGTTGTATACCCATATGTTATGGGTTGATTTGTGTCCCCCCAAAAAGATATGTTGAAGTCCTAACCACCAGTACCTCAAAGTATGACACGATTTGGAAACAGGGCCTTTGCAGATGTAAGTAGTTAAGACAGGTCATACTGGAGTAGGGTGGGCTCCTAATCTATGACTGTATCCTTATAAGATGGCTATGTGGAGACAGACACACAGGAAGCATGCCAAGTGACTATGAAGGCAGACAGTGGAGTTACACAGCTACAAACCAAGACTGCTAGTAAACCACCAGAAGCTAGGAAGAAGCAAGGAAGGATTTTTCTGTACAAGTTTCAGAAGGAACATGGCCTGGCCAACATCTAAGTTTGGACTTTAAGCCTCCTGAACTGAGACAATAAATTTCTGTTGTTTCAAGCCACCTGTTTGTAGTATTCTGTAATGGCAGCCCTAGAGAACTTACACTATATAATGGAACATTATTCAACCACAGAAAGGAATGAAATACTGACGAATGCTTTAACATAGACAAACCTTGGAGACATGCTAAGTGGAGGGAATCAGACACACAAGATTGCTTATTATATAATCCCATTTATATGAAATGCCCGGCATAGGCAAATCTATAGAGAGAAAGTGTACTAGTGGTTGCCTGATGCTGGGGGGCTGGGGGGCAGGAATGATGAAGGACTGCTAATGGATACAGGGTTTCTTTTCTGGGGTGATGAATATCTTCTCAGATTAACTATAGTGCTGACTGCACAACTCTATAAATATATTAAAAATCACTGAGTTGTATAGTCTAAATAGGTGAACTGTACGATATATGAAATATATCTAAAGAAAGCTTTTAAAAAATAATTATAAAAAATTAACAGACACAGAGAGAGAGGAGTAGAGCATTAGGAAAGAGCTGTTACATGAAGTAATGTGTGAAATTTGAGCTGAACCGTGTACAGTGAGGAAAGCTGTGAGAAGAGCACCCCAGGCAGAGAAAATGGTACAAATTTCCTTGGGTGAGAACGGGCTTGGCATATCTAAGGAACAGAAAGGTAAATATGGCTAGAGTATAAATGAGGTAGAAAGTGCTATGGGATAAAGTTGGTAGACAGGCAAGGGCTAGAACGTGTATATTAATTCCATAAAAATTATAGGAAATAAGGGTAGCTACAGTAAAATTCCCGGCAACTTTATTTCATCTCCAGTCCTCAATATGCACCTTTAATCTCAACAGACTTATATATTAGTAGTAATAGTTACCTCATTTCATATTTAAACATTCATAACCATAACAAACAATTACTCGTATGGGCATCCAGTCCTAAAGTTACCTGAACCTGCTAGGTTTGGGCCTGGACTAGTCTTAGAGCAATCTCAAATAGTCAAAATCAGTATAAACCTAGCCCTGAGCCAAGAGTTTTAAGTCTTGAAGGTATAAACATCTCAGTCAAAACTAGGGGACTTCCTTGGTGGTCTAGCGATTAAGAATCCATCTGCCAACGCAGGGGACACAGGTTTGATCTCTGGTTTGGGAAGATGCCACATGCTATGGAGCAGTTTAGCCTGTATGTCACAGCTACTGAAGCCCTCATGCTCTAGAGCCCTGGCTCCACAAGAGAAGACACAGCAGTGAGAAGCCTATGCATGGCAACCAGAGAGTAGCTCCCACCTGCAGCAACTAGAGAAAGCCCCCGCGCCAGCAACCAGGGCGCAACGCAGCCAAAAATAAATAAATAAAACTCCTAGAAGCTCTGTAAATACTTAACTGTTGTGCTGAGGAGCTGAGGAGGGACACAAACCTCAAATACCTGCTGGGACTGGAGTGGGGGAGTGGGGCACGGGTCTAGAAATCAAGTTTCTACCTATACCTTATGTAAGGCAGACCCTCCTCTCGGCTAGTTTACCTCAGTTCCCCAGGCAGGAGAACTGGCCCAGGAGCCCCCTGAAGCCCGTGTTTTCGTGTGGCCTAAGTGCAAGCACCTGAGAGGAGGTGGACACAAGTACGGTACACGAGACAGGGACACGAGGCTGGGGCTTTCCATTACAAATAAAGACTGAATTCCTCGTTGCAATGTTTATCATGAATGTGAGATTTTTCTCCCTGCTTCTGGCATTAAGAATAAAAAAAAACTGCGATCATAAAATAAACTTCTATAGCTGTCAAACAGCAAGCCAAATCAACCCATTCTAGAGATCAAGGATTTTTCCAAGACTCACAGAACGTTCCTATGATTCAAGGAATAGGGAAAAATCAGACCACCATCAGGAATAAAGCAAATGAAATGAGTATTTAACTCAATATATGTGCTCTCAGTCTATTCACCAATTCCTACCCACTGGACATTTGCAGGTGAAGAAATTTTGAAGTTAATCCAAAAGCCTGCCTTTTCTGTTTTGGTTCCAAGTTGGACTACAAGTTTCAGTAAGGAAGGTAACAGGGCAAAATTCAAGAAGGGTAATACTCAGTGTCATCCTAAACCCTCCGTTTTTAGTTTCTCTTATGTGTTCTCCCCTGTCTTATACTGTTATACAGCCTGCGTCAAACACCTGTTGACCTCATTATGGAAGTATTTCAATAACACCCAGAGACCTAAGAAGCACATGTGAAAATGCAAAGAAGACGTTTGAGGTAACAGACATAGAAATCTGAGATGTAAACAGAACTGGCTAGCCCATTTAATAAATTTTTTGAAATAACAAAGTGATTAACCAGAAGGCAAGGGTACAAATAAATCCAATAAACATATCACCACACACTTGTATACAAATCCACCCATCTCTTAACTAATAGACAAAAGCAGTAAAAGGCAATAGAAACACTATGCTTTCCCATTTCCCTGGGTGGGGGGTGGGGAGCGGAGTTCTAATCAAGAGACTCTCTGTAAAGCTAACAACAAAGTAAAAGAAAACAAACAAGCAAAACAAAAAGTTCCAATCTGATTAAAGTTAGTAATAAATTGTACTTACTGTTTGGCCTGATTAACATGAACTCCTAGTGTATAGCTCAGCCATTTGTATGTCACCTGCAAGAAGGAGTTTTTTAAAAAATTTTATTAGATGACTGCAGAGCGCAGGTCAGCCCAAAGGACTCCTAAAGATTCTGAGGCAATTACGCCTTATAAATTACATTAAATGCCACCCCAGTTTTGCCAAGAACCATCCATCTGGGCAGGGAGGACTCAGACATTTATTTTACAAAGAAGTCTGTATCACAGATTAATGCAAGAATCTAAAAAGATTGAATATACACAGAAAAAGCTCTCAACTTCCTTACACTCCCTGTTTCACCCTGGTCCTTCTTTCCACATTTCTCTCCTTTTATGGGGCCATCACCAAAAACTATCCTCAAACTCACTCAGAAACTTAAGTTACTTTGGAGTGTACAACTCAGAAACTTCTGAAGAAAGTTGCAGCCACATAAATATTAAAGGGCACAGATGGTGCAGGGGTCAGGGAATGAGTGAAGTGGATGAATACTCTATCAGAGGTTAGATTGGAAATTACTGGCATCAAGCTTTGCTCTTCCTCCATCCTTCCTTGAACTGTCATTTGCCACTTCCTTGTAACCTGTCACCCTCCCCTCAAAGTCTTACAATTCTAAACGCTGAGTTTCCAGTAACTAGAAGACTGAGCACAGGCTGGGCAAAGGCAGTGTGATGTAGAGGAAAGCACCAGCAGAACACAGACTGGAAAACTGATTATCCCTTGTGTGTGTGTCTTAGTCACTCAGTCGTGTCCTACTCTCTGTGACCCCATGGACTGTAGCCCAGCAGGTTCCTCTGTCCATGGAATTCTCCAGGCAAAACTACTGGAGTGCGTTGCCGTTCCCTTCTCCCAGAAGATCTTCCCAACCCAGGGATCAAACCTAGGTCTCCTGCAGACGGATTATCCCTTACTAAACACAAGTTATTTGGGCCCTCTGCTTCAACTACCTTTTCTAAGGCTACTTCCACCGACCTCGATAAGTCACTGTAAAAAAGTAAACGCAATAACGTGTACCCAAAGTTCACAGTAGGCCCTCAATCATCACGATTTGAGAAACGCTCTCACATCCATCGTCTCACTTGATCTTTACTTCAACCCTGTGAAGCAGGTCAAGCCTGAATCAATAACAAACTTCCAGGAAAACGAAACCAACTGACGGTCAGATTAAACAACTTGTTACTTAACCCGGTCAAAACACAGTTTCCTCAACTGTAAACCTGAGACTTCAAACGCCAACCACCTTGCAGGAAATGTGTAAAGACAAACAACATCAATCAAGGCTCCTCCCTCCCCGCCCGACCTCCGTGGCCCTTGGTCTGCGCAGAGCCCAGCACGCCCACCCGAGGAACCTGGATCTGCCGGCAGGGCAGAAGTCCTCCCCGGCGGGTCCTCGCTCTGCCTGGGGCACCAGGAATGGGGACCGTCTCCACTGGACCAGCCCCATGCAGCCACACGCAGAGGATCAAGACCCCTGCCGCCCTCACTGGGCCCAAAACCCCAGTCGCACGCCCGCATTCCCCAGTCCTAGCTCCTCACGATCTTGTTCTGGTCCGTGACGAACTCGTCTATATTTTCCAGATAAAACTGGTCCGCCATGGTGCCGCGGAGCTGTGCCCCGCCGCAACTGAGCTCCCCTAGCCGCCACAACCGCAGCTCCCGCCGGCGGGAAACGTCTTTTCTCCCTCCCAGGTCCCGGGTCGTTTCCCACGGCAACGAAGGCGACGCGCTACGGCGGCCGCTGGAGGGTCAAACTAGTCTCAGAATCGGCGCAGGCTGAAGTAGGTGGAGCTAATAGGAACTGACGGAAGTGAGGAACGAGGAGCGCGGGCGTGGTCCGGAACGGCTGCCTGTAGAATCCTAGTGTCGAGTCCAGGCTCTGCCAGTTCGTGGCTGACGCACCGCAAAATACCTTATCTTTCTAGGGACCGTGGTCTTTCCACCCGTAAACTGATAAAATAATCCTTGCCCTGTCACACATTTAATCAATGAGTATTAATTAGGTACCTCGTCTGTTTCCAGTCACTTCCTAGGCACTGGGACACAGCTGTGAACAATAAAGACAAGTAGCTATTTTAGTAAAGTCCTGCAGCTGGGATAAAGTACTGCCTGTTATAATCTCTCAGAACTGAGAAATTAGGGGAAGTTTTTCCAGAATGGATGCGAGAGGGGGTGTTTGCTGGGAAGAGGTGTTTTCATTATAGTTGAAATGTTAGGAGAAAAGGACACGGAGAGAGATGAGACGAAGGAAGAAGCCAAACTATGCGATGCCTACAAGGTTGCGTGAAGGGGCACGTGAACTTTATTCTCAAGGATTAGGGAATTTCAAATAAAATTTCTCCTAATATCAGCAAAAAAAACAATCCTTCCAATTAAACTGTGTATTTCAGTAGGGCAGCACCGTGAATAATGGAGCTGGCACTAGAGTTAGACCCTGGATTTGAATCCTGGTTTTGATATTTGTTGTGTGAACTTAGGCAAATTGCTTAACCACTGCAAGCCTGTTTCCCCATCTATAAGATGGATATAGTAATAGCATCACTTCAAATGTTTGTTGCAACATGCATTCATTCAGGATATGGTTAGCAAAAGTCTAGTAGGGGCCAAGCATTGTTCTACAGATACAGCTGTGATCAATAACACAAGAGCCTGCCCAAATGTAGCTTACATTTTCTTGGAGATTTTCGAGTGAGGGATGATAGCAGCTTAAAATAGTATCATTTGTACTAGAAATTGAGAACCCAGTAACTTGGTTCCCTTTTGTTTCTAAGTCAGGAAAACCCGCTAATGAGTTAGATGAGTGGAGAATGAGAAAGACAGTAATAAAAATTGCCTAGACTTGAAACCTAAATCAATATGTTAATAGTGATGTCTTTGTGAGATATGAAGTCAGAGAAAGTGCAGATGAGAAAATTAAAGAATTTTATTTGGCCAGAGTTATAAACCAGATAATATATACATAACCCTTGTGCCATACCTGCATACAACGAAATCAACAGTTAGTATCTGTACTTGGGATTGGCAGGCTTCCCTGGTGGCTCAGATGGTAAAGAATCCACCTTCAATGTGGAAGACCTGGGTTGGATCCCTGGGTCAGGAAGATCCCCTGGAGAATGGAATGTCTACCCACTCTAGTACCCTTGTCTGGAGAATTCCATAGACAGAGGAGCCTGCTGGGCAGTCCATGGGGTCACAAAGAGTCAGACACAACTGAGCAACTAACACACACACTTACACTGGTGACATTGCTTTTGCTGGTAGCTCAGATGGTACAGAATCTGTCTGCAGTGACAGAGACCTAGGTTCAATCACTGCGTCGGGAAGATCCCTTGGAGAAAGAAATGGCAACCCACTCCAATATTCTTATCTGGGAAATCCCATGGACAGAGGATCCTGGAACTGAGTGATTAACACACTCTCTGGTGACATTGGGCAGAGGAGTGAAAGAGGCACCAAAGCCAGATTTCAGTGATTCAAGAAGTGAGGAAGAATGAGAAAAGGAGCTGAATATAGAGCGTAGAGACAACTCTGGCTAATTAACTCTGTGAAATAGGAGAGTGGGGTGAGAATCATGACTTTCACAAGTCTGCCTAAGCAACAGGGGTGGGAGATGGTGGTGGGTGTTTGTCTGGGAAGGAAGGACGATAGGCCTTATGGAGTTTTTTCTATGTAGAAGATCCTCAGTCAGGATTCCCTCAGAAACTGCAAGCCTGAATCTGCAGGAGGAGAGCATGTGACACATCCTCAATTCCCATTGAACAGAAATTTTTCCAAAGGCCTTTTTCCCCCTGGATTCCCAGCACCCAGCATGGCCATCGCTGGCAGAGCGTAGGCCCTTAACAAATATTTGTTGACTGATAACTAAATGGCAGAATGAGTAGATGGATGAATGAATGGAATTGAATTAAACGTTGTTCTGCTCTATAATCCCTTTTGTTGGTTTTCAGAACATTGTTTGTGGAAGGTGTTGTCTTTCCTCTCCAGCCCCCTCTGAAACAGGTACATAGTCTGTTAGCAGGGGGAGAATTATTGGTAGGTTAACTGGGGAGATGCAACTGCCTTCAAAGTCCCAGTGATCAGAAATAGGGGACAAGGGGTGACCTTTTGTGGACAGAAGTCAGGACCAAGTCCAGATCCTAAACAGGCTTGAGACTTGCAAAGAGCACTGCTGCTGGAGACCCCAAAGGGAGGCGCCATGCATTCCTGTGTGTACAGTCTTTATAGACAGGATTTTGTCTAGTAAACACTCCATATACTTTGGGTTGACTAATCTGAAGCATCTTACCTTTCAGTATTTCTTCCAAAACTCCATAGAGTAAGAGACAAAATCAGATGGTAGACTCTCCCCAAACTGATTCTCCCATCTTCCTGTTTCCTATCCCATGAGGAAATGCCTCCATCATCCTTCTGATCTCCCGGGACCTGCTCTATTTCAGACCTTCTTTATCATCAGTCTTCTGTTTTTAAGTTTCTTTTCATGGTATAGAGGAAATGCATGCTCATCCACATCTTCTCTAGCCTGATCTCTGTTCCAATCTTCCCCCAACCCCCATCCGGGTCCCTCTTTAACACCAGTTCCAGGATGACATTTCTAAAACACAGAACTGCTAATGTTGTTCCCAGCTTAAAAAACCACAATCCAATTTTAGAACACTTCCATTGCCCCCCAGAAGTGCTCTTGTGCCCTCATTCCCTGCTTACCCAAAGAGTCCCTATTCTCAACCCCCAATACCAGGCAACCAAGGGTCTGCTTTCTATCTCTATTATTTTGCCTCTTCTAGAAATTTCATATAAATGGAACCATAAATATGTAGTTTTCTGGGTAGGGTTTCTATTATGGACTGAGGTGTGTCTCCCCTCCCCCACCATAAATTCATATGTTAAAGTCCTAGTCCTCAGTAGCTCACATTATAACTGGCAACAGGGTCTTTAAAGAGATAATTAAGTTAAAATGAGGTCATTAGGGTGGGTCCTAATCCCTGGTGTCCATATAAGAAGAGGAAACTAAGACAGGCAACCCACTTCAGATAGAAGACCACGTGAAGACACAAGATGACCATCTATAAGCCAAGAAGAGAGCCCTCAGAAGTCAACCCTGATAACACCCTGATCTTGGACTTCTAGCCTCCAGAATTGTGAACAAATAAATTTCTATTGTGTAAGCCTCCCAGTCTGGTACTTTTTTATGGCAGCCCTAGCAAACTAATATAGCTTCTTTCATGTAGCACAATGTGTTTGAGCTTCTTTTAAAATAGTGTAAATATTAGTAGTTCTTTACTTTTTGTGCTTGGTAGTACCCAATGGATGTACCATATTTTGTTTATGTATTCTCCAGTTGATAGATATTTGAATTACTTCCAGTTGTGGTGCTAAAACTCCTGCTAGAAAATTTGCATACACCTCTTCACGTGAACATATGTTTTCATTTCTCTTGGGTAGATCCAAGACTTTTAAGACCAAGTTTAAGTTTATTACTTCTTCAACCTCACCTCTCATCCTTCATTGCTTCTTACCTTTACTTCAGCACCAAAGACTGCTCATAAGTCCTTGCATGTACTATTCTATTTCTCACTGATAAGTCTTTACATCCATGATACCCTCTCTGGACTTTTGTTTCCTCATGGCAAAATGGAGATAATAATCAGGCATATTGAGTGGAATAAAATCTAATTAACAGTACCTCTCATCTAGACAGTGTTTTACACAAGTTTAAAAGCTTATTTACATCCTTTATCTCCTTTGATAAACTCTATCCAATAGTCAGGGATTATAGGTTAGTAGCTATGACTGTCAAAGATAGTGAAAGTCACTCAGTTGTGTCCAACTCTGCAAGCCCATGGACTATACAGTCCATGGAATTCTCCAGGCCAGAATACTGGAGTGAGTAGCCTTTCCCTTCTCCAGGAGATTTTCCCAACCCAGGGATTGAATCCAGGTCTCCCTCATTGCAGCGGGATTCTTTACCAGCTGAGCCACAAGGGAAGCCCAAGAATACTGGAATGGGTAGCCTATCCCTTCTCTAGCGGATCTTCCTGACCCAGGAATCGAACTGGGGTCTTCTGCATTGCAGGCGGATTCTTTACCAGTTGAGCTATCAGGTAAGCCATGGCAGACTGTAAAAAGGGCCAGAAATTACTCTCTTCCATCTATCTATACATTTTGAAAGCATCCTCCCACCCTGACTCTGGTTTGGTTTTGTGATTCACTTTGACTAGAAACATTCTTGAGCACAGGGGCTTCCCTTCTCTTACTGCACGAGGAGTCCAGAGACCTAGGCTCATGTGGATGAGCCTAGGTTAGGCTGCTAGAGGACAAGAGGCCACACTGGCGGAGAATGAAGGTACCCCAAATATGTGAGTGAGGCGACTACCCAATTCGCCAGTGGACTATAGATCCAACGAGGAGCCTAGCATAGATCCGTTGAACTAACCAACACCAGGTGATCTATAGCATCTGAGCTAAATAAAGTGATCATAGATTTAAGACACGATGTTTCAGGTTGAGTCATTTTATTTCAATGCTAATTGATATAGATATTCAATACAATAAAGCTTTGAAGCTAAGCAGTGTGGGTTTGAATTCTAGCTCTGCCATCTACCAGCAGTGTGGCCATGGGCAAGCTACTCCATCTTTCCAAGCTTCAGTGTCTTCATCTGAATAAAGAGGGTAATGATAGTGCCCATCCCCTGGGGTTGCAAAGATTCAATAAGATGATAGATGTCA